GAAGGTGTAGAGATAAACCAAACTTAATTTTGTTGAGTATCGGGCTAGATCTTAGGGTTAGAACGCGAATAGTCAACAAGTTATAAGCAATCAGGGACAATTAACGAATGTCACTATTAGCACATGTATTCAGTGAACGACGGAGATTGGGCCAGACGAAGCCGAGTGAGCGGTAGACATGTAAAGTGCCATGAATGAGAGCACACCGTGTGGGTTTTCAACATATACGATGATCCAGTCAACACTGACATGGATAAGTAGACAAATATGGGGTTTCTGAATTAACTAAATATAGAAAATGCTATTTAACTTAAGAAATCTATATTTTTGTGTAGAAAAATCATAAAAAAATACTTTGTGCTCAGTGAAAAGAGGAAAAATCAATGGACCAAAAATTAAAAATATTTATTAAGTATTTTATTTTAGATTAATTTAAAATCTCAAAGACAAATTTAATTATAATTAATTAAATAATTGTAGTAATTATATGAAATTTTTAGGGCATATTCCTAATGACCATAACGATAATCTATGATTTTTTCAAGGTCAGAAGACACTCTTAGCATGAAAAGCTCTAATTTTCTAGGAATTTCAACTAATTTTAATTAAAAAAATACAAAAAATAAAATAAAATCAAGTATGTTGCATTCACTGTGGTTAGAGGACAGAAGGAAAGATAAACATGCGATTTAAAATAAAAACATATCTTATTAAGTTTTTTTCTATTTAGAAATCAATAAAAAAATAAATATATAAATGCAACTCAAAAAATTACAAAAATATCTCTGATTAAAGAAAACAACCCCATAATGTTTCTATAAAAATTTCAAAGTAAGAAACTTATTTTTTAATATAAAAATGTATTTTTTAAGAAAAATAGTAATTTTTTATTAAAATAATTATATAAAATAAAATAAAAATCAGAAAATTACAAAATCAAGTTTGGCGTGTTCTTTGAGGTCATAAACACCTAGAAAAATAAAATTAAATTCAAAATAAAAAGTTCATTTTTGGCTATTTTCTTAGTTAAAAATAATTAGAAATTACAAAAAATACAAATATACCTCAAAATGTCACAAATTACTCCTTGATAATGAAAACAACTTAGAAGTGCTTTTACAAATTTTTAAAATTGTAAAAATATATTTTAAATGGTTAAATTTATTTTTCGATATTGTTTTTATTGAAATAATTATAAAAAATAAAATAAAAGTCATAAAAATAAAAAATAAATTTCTCTATGTTCTTTGAAGCCAGAGAGATTAATGAAAGATAAAAAAATTAATTTTCAAATTAAAAATATATTTTTTATTTATTTGTCCATTAAAATTAACTAAAAATTATAAGAATTAAAATATAGTTCAAAAATTGATGAAATTATTTCATGTGGTCCTCTGACTCATATGAACACAATAAAATTTTTCTAAGGGCACAAAACATGTTTTGATTAATTAAATTTATCAACATTGAAAATTCATAATTTTGGATCAAAACAATTATAAAAAATAAATAAAAATAAAAAATTATCTCCGATGTTTCAATTAACCCATGAGTAACAAGCTAACAAAGTTTCATGGTCATTTGAGTTAAACTAAAAGAGTTTTGGGGTAAAAAACCCTAGGCGTAAAATTGTAGTTTTTGAATTTTTTACTCTAATTAAAATTTAGGTCATACAAGATATTTAATCAATCCTTTGATATGATTGAAATTCATTGGTAAAAGGGTAGAAACCAAATCACACAATTTCTACCAAAGGGCACAATTGTAATTATTCAAATTATTGAAGATCAGAAGACACTTAAGTTTGGATGATCTAAGTGTGAAGGGGCACAAGTTAGAAAACAATCCACTGATTTGAAACTCAAAAATCAATGGTTAAGCATAATTCAATTTTTCGATAAGAATCAAACACATTTCATAGAACTTTTTAAGATTACAAATTTATCTTTAAAAGATCCAAGAGCTTGGTAGTAAGCTAGGCCTGATCTCACATCACATAAAGAGGATTAGAAAATTAAACATAAGTTATCATTAATACTACAAACTCAAACCCAATTGAGAAGAGAGAATAAAATTTTCTTAAGCAATTAAGCTTAACCATAAGGGTGACTACCATATCAATCTCAAACATAACACTTTTACAAGACTTTGGACATTTTGGAGGACATTTGGGCTTACATAAATTTGTTGAAGATGTCATCCTCAAAACTTTAGGGATCCACCAAGATATGACTCGGGACCCTTTCAACTTAAATTATTAATGAAAACCCCGTCACTACATATCCTACAGTAAAACTCAATGCCTAAGGGTATTAGCCTTGAATAAAGTATCTAAACTCATGTGGGAAATTGAGGACATTTTGAATGCCACATATAAATTGTCATGCTGGTATTAGTTGGATGGACTTGGTGGTAAGGGTGATGATGACAGTGCTTATATGTGCTAAGAGTGAGGATGTTAGAATAGTATCTCCTATCTCAAAGATCTTCGGAGAGGGGATAAGACCGAGGATATTATTCACGAACTCTTGGTAAGAAGTTGCCCCTGACTTTCTTAGGTTGCCGGTAGTTCTAATTTTCTAATTTTCATATAAATATAAATATTCATATAAATATAACATAACATAAAAAATACATGTACTTTTCTCATGACACTACTGTTTTTGACAGCCAAGTAAATTCTACATGCATGAAAAATTAAAGAATTTTTGGATTTTATCCTATAAAAGTCAACTTATTAATCACTTTGATTAAGGCCAAAAATTGCCCTCCTTAGATTGTTTGGTTTGAGGCTTCTATCCAAGGTTGGATTATAAGGCCACAACCCAGCTTTAAGCCCGCCTCGAACATAAATTCTTATACCCAGCCTCGATCATTTATTTGTAACATTGTTTTTTGCTTTACTCGTCCGTATTTTATTATGACATGTTTTGTTTTATTTGTTTGTGATTTTCTAGTGACATGTCTTGTCTTCCTTACACTGGATTCCCTATAAATTATTTAAATTCCCTACATGTTGCTATACTATATTTTCTGTACTGACACTTCTTGCAGCAGTAACAGAGGCCATGTACACAAGTTTATTTTTTACATTTATTGCATTTTATTGCACTTTACCGTGCTTTACTGTTCTTTTGCTCATTTATGCTCTATATACTTGTAATAACTCTTAGAATATGAGAACAGTAAACTGGTCATTCAGGAGGTACACTGCGGTAAACCACGAGACCCAACATATTTTTGCTCATTTATGCTCTATATATATTAAATTAAAATACAACCGACTCCAAAATCCCCGACCGACATAAATACTAAAATGTTAGAGGAATGCAATAACAAAAATGTCCTAATGCAAAATACATTATTGAATTACCCACATGCCCTGCTATGATATGAATGGAAGGATGAATATCATGAGGAGCCTAATCTAACATGGTGAGAGTAGACGCTAACACATTGCTAAACCATGAAGGTGCCACGACACTATGTTGTACAACGCCATGGCTCTAAGATATGCAGTGTCAAGGCATTAAGCCTCACCATGTCAAGGAAATGAACCCATATGCATGCTTAACCTAGTATATAAAAATTTTATGTCCTAAATTACTAAAATTATACATATATAGTAGTTATGGACATTAGTTTTATTAAATATCAATGAATATGTATATATATATATATATATGTATATTCTCATGTGTATATATATATATATATATATGCATTCATTTTTTTATGACATTAAATTTTTGTCAAGCTCAATTTCGAATTGGCCTACGACTTTCCTTTTGCCAAGAGTTACTTTTGATATACTAGAGCTGGCGAATCATGAAGCGTTATTAAATGCCAAAAAAAGAATATTATGGCTTACTATATGATGAATAAAAGGAATAATTCTGGTTTTTAAATGTCAAAATGATGCTGGAGATCAGCTCCATCCCTAAGCTTTAGTCTTGTTCAGGTTTCGAGCTCTATTCCTATCATGAGAGGGGTGAGGCTCTATTTATACAATTCTGATTGCAATTAATGAACAAATATGAATCATCTGATAAGACAGCCTAAAGATGTTTCCTTAATCAGATGGCGTTTGATGGACATTAAAGTATCATAATCATATCATAATTGAGTGGTCTTAGGCTCATTAGATTCGTCATGTCAAGATGCTTGATTCGACTATAAGCTCACCAGATTCAAAATAGTGTTGTTTTGGGCTCGTTAGATTTGTCTTGTCGAGACAATTGTTAAACTTTCCTTTTGCCAAGAGTTACTTTGATATTCTAAAGCTGGCGAATCATGAAGCGTTATTAAATGCCAAAAAAAATAGTAAGGGAGGCATTTACCTACATACCGCCCAATTCCTATGTATATTTACATATCCAACACCTAAACTTTACTTTTTACATTTATACCACCCAAAATTTTCATATCACATAAAAAATAACATTTTATTTTAAAAACTGAAATAGAGACACAAAATGTATTGAAATAAAATGAAAGAAATCAGATCTAATTCCGGAATCTGCAACCTCTCATACAACATATTCAACTCAAAATTTGGGTCACTAAATATTTCCAGTAAAAGAAATCCAAATTATTTTCTATAATATAATTTAAGACAATTATTTAGAAATCCTAAAAAGCAATTGCAATCAATTCAACATAAATACAGAAGTTCCAACATATATACCCAATTTAACTTCTGAATCTCACACAACGATCCAGAATAAATGAAAACAATGCTTACAAGCAGCTTTCATAAATCTGCAACCAGAACTAAATGAAACAATATTGCGTACGGAGTTCAGACACAGAGCTGTGTCCGGACAACGGACGTGATACAGCGGGGCAGAGCTAGAGCTCGGAAATCCGCTGTATCACATCCGTTGTCCGGACTCCGGACGCAATATTTTCTTGAACTAAACAGCTACTGAATTTTTCTTACATGAACAAAAATCACTTTAAATCTTCGCTCTAAACAGCTACTGAATTTTTCTTACATGAACAAAACATCACTTTAAATCTTCGCTTTAAATCTTCGCTACATCAGACGAACAATAAAGAACAGATCAAAAGTTTTCATGGCATGATTGTAGAAACACTAGCAGGGTTCTTCGTAATTGCATGCAGAATATCATTGTAGCTCACAATGCCCACAAGTATGTTTTCTTCCAGCTCGGCTTCTGTCACCCAAACATGTGTTGCCCGGTGCGAAAGCATCTGGGCCATGACCGCTGCGAGAGAGCTTGTCGTCCGGCAGGTGAGAGGTGCGCTGCGGCCCCTATACATGCTCCGCGTTGACCTCCAGCCACCCAATGGCTGCTGGCTTAAGAACCCCATGCTCCGGCTGCTGAATTTCTTGTGCCTGACAGACTCCACAATTCCGTTCTCCAACTGAGAGGTGAGGACGAAGTCCGGAGGCGAGTCCTGGTCCTCATCCTCAGAGCCCATCACGAACTGACCGGCCGAAAGGTTCGACATGGCCCAGGCAGCAGAGACATAGTCACATTTCCAAAGTTTGTATGCCGAAATCTCGCCGATGATCTTCCAAGCACCATCGACCGAGGTCTCCACCACGGCGGCAACACACGGGTTCTGAGGAAAATTGTGGAGGATTTCAAGGGCGGGGGAGGAGGCCTCGATGAAGTGGTAGTTATAACTTAAGGCGCCCAGAGAAGATATTGAGGACAGGGGTATTGGAGCGAGGGCGCCGAGGCAGCCGATGACGAAGCGGACAACATCTTCCCTGGATAGACAGCAGTATTGGATCTCTTTGGAGGATGAAGAAGGGGAGCCACTGTTTTCACAGAAGTTGGTGGTTAAATTTGTGGGAGAAGAGTCAGAATTTTTTAGCCATTTGCCGTTGTAGAGAATGGAAAAGCGCTTGCTGATGCCTTTCCATGCGACACTCTTGCGCACAATGAGGCACTGAACACCCTGTTTCATCATCTCCAGTGCATCAATCAACCTTCAAAGGTGAAGAGGTTCAGAGTTTTGATAAAGTGATGTCATCGTAAAGAAGGGAGAAGATGAAATAAATATAGATTATGATTGTAGAGGAGCAGACAAGGGAAAAACGCATCTTCAAACAATAACTTTAATAAGTATAAAAATAATTGATTCTCTTGAACAAAATTAAAGAAGCAAAAAGACTATGAAATAATTAATGCTAATGTTTCACTCAATAGGATTCATGCAAAGATCTATAGCTACTAGAGACCAAGCAGACAATATGTGGATGAGCATAAAATATTCTAAAGCTATTTTGTAATGCGATCAAGAAAAAAATTAAAGGATATGTTATCATTTGTTGACAAGAAGATGTAAAATAATCAAAACCTATTGATTGTCAAGGAGGATTTAAAAAAATAATGAATCTCAGGTAACAATAAGATTTCAATGATAGGCAATGACGGTGATAACTGATTGAAGCTGTTCAAGAAATATGAATCACTGCAGCCTCAATAAGCCTAATTACCTGTATCATAGGATAAATTCATCTACGCCCCTCAAGCTAACGCACATTTATTATTTACTCAAGTATTTTAAATTGATATTTATTAATCTTTTTCAGATAAGATATTTATTTTTCAATCTTTTCATTTTCTCTATCTTGTGATTTCTCAATTTGATTTTTTCCAGTAGCATCTGGTTATTGCACTACACGTTAATAATAATCTGTAGAGGCATAATAATCAAATAGTTACAAACAAATAACCAGAGTTTGCAAGAGGGAGATGGCAAAACTAGGTGGTCAAAAGAGGTTGGACCGAGCAAATGAACGTTAGGGTTCGTGGCATTACTTGATCTCACCAAAAGTTGATAAAATTTGAAATTCGATATAATTAAAAAATAATACAAACAAGGAAGAACGCTAAAACAACAATAACAAGCCTTTAACCTACTACGTAGGCCGGCTGCATGAATCATTTTTCTCCATTGTGTCCTATTGAGTTTCATATTTTCATTTAACTCTAATAAATTAAGATCATGTTTTATACAACATGCCCAAGCCTATTTAGGTCTACCTCTACCTTTCTTAACTTAATTCAAATCTAAAACATCTACTCTCCTAACTGGATCATCAAATGATTGATGTTTAATGCGACCAAACCACCTAAGGCAACTCTCTCTAATCTTGTCTGCCATTGGAGTTACTCCAACTCTTTCACAAATAAATTTGTGATGTCAAACAAAGAGATAGGAAAAGCAAATTATCCACTTTAATATCAATCTATTATAAAAATCACTAAAAATAAATTTCATAACATCACAAATTATTCTTTGACTTCTTACATGTTATCTTATATTTTTTTTAATTCAAACACATTTTTTACACTTAATAATACTAGTTATTTTATCTCACATAATATTAGCTTCTTTATGAACATCCTAAATCTTATGATCTTGAAATTTACTTGTAAATATAATTTTAATTGCCTTTTTAGTATCCTAATATAGTTTTATGATAATATTTAATTATATTTATCATTTTTTAATTCTTCATCTTAAAATTCAAAATTAAAAATCAATGTAAAGTGTTAAGATTTTTATTTGGAATGACTTTACAATCTTTACAATCTTTAGACGATTCATTTTTTCATAAGAGAATAATCAATTTATTTTTATTTTATCTATTCTTATAACTGATAATATGCATATCTTTCTTTTAAATAAAGTATCAACAATAACGAATTCATAAGCTAAAATAAAATTCAATATGATTCTACCTTTTTATTACACTCTAAAATTATAACCACTATGAATACGTTTCAAAATCTTTTACAACTACACCAACATGCTCATTTATATCTCCAATAAAATTTAATTCTTCAAGAAGTATTATTTGAATTAACTGAGTCATTCCAAAAATTTCTTTTGAATATATATCTAAATTTATTTGGGGAACATAAGCATTTATAACATCAATAATCTTAGTATCAACAATCATCTTCAAAGAGATAACTTTATCTCTAATTATATTAATATTAACAACATTATCTTTCAAACTACTATCAACAACAACAACAACAAGGTTTTATCCCACTGAGTGGGATTCACCATTTCTCAAATAATAAAAAAAATTGCATGTCATTTATAAATCACATGTAGCCTTTACAACATAACACAAGATTTAGTTTGACCTATGAGAGAACATGTTTCTATAAGTTTATAAATGAAGTAAAATTCAGGCATTTAATATTGATAATTATAAGCATTATCAAAGGTGGAACCACACTCATAATGAATGCCAACAAAATCCAAACATTAGGTGCATCATAGTGACTTATTAGAGCAAAGTTGGGCGCTAAAAGAAATAGTTGTTGCATAGACTTTTATTCAATTATGATTTTTTATTTTTTTTATTTTTTTTTTATTTTTGTATATCATGGAATGATAGTCATCAAATTTTCTTATCTTGGAAAAAAAAATAATGATTTTCAAGCTCAATAATATTTCAAATTTTGCTAACTACAAATAGTTTGAATAAGGCTAATGATGATGATTGGTGAGCTCTTCCAAGTTAAAAATTTTGCTAACTAAATTATTTTAGAAAATTACATTGAACAATTAATATTTTTAGCATAGACAAGGATTAGTCTAATATTGACTACTATCTATTCCAATTTTATCACCAATCATGCTTTCTCTTCTATGAATTGAAAAATAACACTCCATCTCTTCTTATGTTTCATTAAACTAATTATCTTCAACATCAAGATCTCTACAGAACATGAAGCTCTTGCACTTAATCAGCTTGTTTCCAAGGCAAATAAGTGTTTCTCAAACTCTTAATAATACTTTTAATGTCAAGTGATGTTAACAATAAAATTTATTCATCCTCATCATTTAGAGCATTTGCAAATCTCTCAAATCAACGAAAGGCACTTGCCTTTTTTCCTCAGTGCTTTAAGACAGAGCGCTCTACTAGGCACGCCTTCATAATGTCACCCGTCTAGGTAGTACAGGAGGGCTATAGCCACAGCTTGGCCTGCCTTAGTACCTCTCACCTTTAATAACAATGATCCTCATCACCATGTTTATAAGAACTGAATAAAATAAATGAGAACAACATGCATGCAAAACAAAAAAAAAATAAAATTTTTAAAAAACATGCAATGGGTTGTATTACTTGTATACAACTTGTCAACCTGGTCAATTCCTATTTCGGAAGTGCCAGGAAACTACCATCACATTATGTCAACAAAAAAGACTAGTTAAACAGGAAGGGTCATGAAGTTGGACTGATCAGACTATTACCCATCCCAAAAGCACCCATGTATTCTCTTGTCAAACAGGGCACGCTTTAAGGCAAATAAGCAATCAATAACACATAAAGCATCGCTATTCACCAACCTACACATGAAGTATCTTGATGTTGGACTGGTCCGGCTATTATCCATCCAAAAAGCACCGATGTATTCTCTTAAAAAACAAAGCATACTTTAAGGCAAATAAGCAGTTAATAACACCAAAAGCGTCGCTGTTCACTAATCTATACAATATCTGCAGATGCATACGCATAACCTAAAAAGGTGGAGATGCTGATGGAATAGATATTGTGAAAAACACTTTCCCCAAACAGGTTGCCTCCAGCTCACAAATTAAAGAACGCTAAGTAGTAAAATTCTTGTTGCATTTAAAACCAAGAACCAACCGAGCAAAAAATTAAATTACCTCCCAGCTCTCAAATAAGACAAAAGAAAAGAGAATACATCCGTAATCCAGGAGATACAAGAAAGTAACTGGCTGCATACCTAGCCGCAGGATCGACCTCTTTAAGCAGCGATGGATTATGTTTAACGACCTCCCTGACTGGTGTCCCCATTGCCTTCTCCCGATCCCCTTCCCTAGCCAGAAACGCCACCACGTCCAATGAATTCAAAATCCCAACGAACCTCGCGGCCCTCTCACTCTCCCCGACAACCTCCTCCCCTTTCCTTCGCCATACTGTGACCGCTCTCTCCGAGCCCTCTCCAATCTCCCCAATCGCTGCTTCCACCGTCTCCCCTTCCCAGAACTCCCTCATATCAGGCTTCCCCACTGTGAGATCTCCAACCACATGATGCAAGAAAACCGCCGCCATCCTACAAGTCCCAGAACTCAATCGATCGCAAGTCCCTAGATTGGGAAATCGCCTAGGGTTATAAAAGAGAGTGAAGAAGAGTCAGGTGGAGGAGTAGGAAGCTACAAACGGGCTTTGAACGTGCAATTATGACATCAGGGAAGAAGAGAAGAGGGGCGGAGCTAACGGTGGCTAGGCCGGCTGCCATGTAAGAAGACCGGAGGGGAAATGCCCATCAAAGGTTCAGGGTTCTGCCGAAATCGCCGGGAGTAGAACGAGAGGCGTGATCAAGTGGCGGTCGCCAGATGGGGATGGAAGACGGGATTCGCCCACGTTCTTGCAGTTTTATAGATGGCCAAAGTCGTTGGATCACGTATAGACGTATAGTGGTGGAAGTGTAGTTGCGGTGAGCTGCAGGTAACGTTACCGGTAAAAAATTGATTTTTTTATTTTTTATTTTTTGGGGAAATTTGTCTTCATGTGTTTGAAATAGTGCTGTTTGGACAAATATTTCATACATATATTGAAAATATGCCTCAATCATTGATTTAGATTAAAATACATTCATTGTTATAGATGTAAAACTATGAATGTTTCAATTGTTCAAATTTTTGACAAAGGGATCATTTTTCCAAAATTTTTGGCAACATCTTCTATTTGGAACATGTTCTTTTATCCTTTGTTATTCTTGAAGTAGAATGCATTCGTTGGCCATTGTCATGAGAGCACTCCTCCTAGGTTACAATGGGATGAAGATGGGCTTGACACTTACACTCGCTGCGTGTTAGAAAATTCTCAATGGTTGAGACATCTTATCATCTTAAGCCTTAGCTCAGTAAAATTTTTCAATACATGCACAGATAGAAATACAAAATATAACTAGATTATTTAGCAGACAACTTTGGAAAGAGAAAAAAAAATCATGGGCGACATACCATTAACAAATTTCTATCATCTGACAATAATCTTAAAGCATTTTTAGTAAGAAAAATTCAAAATTCAAATACAAGATAATTCAGAAATCCGATTTTAATAAGTTTATAGTCAAATTGACCATCTCGACGAAACAAACCCAATGATATCAAAATTGCTTCAATTTTAATTTAATCAAGTTCAGATAAAGCCATTAAAACATATTTGGAGGCTTTAGATCGTTAAGTGAATAAATAAACTTCAAATTTGAAATACTTATAGTCCAATCCAGCGTCTCCTTGAGAGGAGTACAACAGTCTTATGCTCGCTTAATTCTAAGGTCATTAAAACCCTTAAATCATTAAGAAAATATATACGATCAAGATAGATCAATATTGGTTGTTTGATCAGGTAGTTACGAGAGTTATTCACCAAATAACCAAAATGTCCCTCCCTTAGAGGCTATAAATAAACCTCATTTCTTCACTTAATGAGGAGAAGAGATAACTGAATTTTAGTGTTGTTCGGTACCGAAGACCAACATAATTTCCAGCCTCTGTAGTCGTTGACCACCATCAATCACTGCTTGCCATCCATTGTCTCTCGCCGTCAACGAACTTTGCTTGCTAATGATGTATCATAAATATGGTGTAACGAATAACATTTTGTTCAAGACATAGCAATAAATTCTAGCCTCTGTAATCGTCGACAACCGTCTGTTGATCGTCGTTGTCATCCCTGATCGCGTTGTTGGTGAATTCATCTTTCTAACGATGTATCCCAAATACAGTGCAATAAAAAATGCATATTGAAAATCCAATAATAACTCCAAGCGAAAAGTTTTACGACCATTATATTCAGAATACGACAACTTTCTCTGGACTTTTAAAGTATTCTCTACGTTGTATGCAGACAAGTGTTATATTTAGTGTTTGTAATTATGTTTTTCCAATTGTAAGAAAATGGTATACGTTAGTACTTACACACTTATAGTGGATTATTTCGTCTCAGCTTTACCATGTGGCTTTTTCCTTTTCTAAAGTTTTTTCGCATAAAAATCAATGTCTCTTCCTGTTTATTATCTTTTATCTTTGTGTGTGTGTTGGATCTTCATGCAAAGCTAAGCTATTAAATTACCACTCTATTGCCGTGAATCCTCTGACACAGAGTAATGAGGTTTGGCCTAGTTAAAACAATATAGTAGAAAATTAATATTTGGGTTTGGCCTAATTAACTGGGGTTTGACCTAATTAAAACAATCTAGTAAAAAACATAAGTGTTTCCACTTGTTACTTTTTTTT